GTGCTCAGAAAAACAGCAGGAAAAGGGCTGGAAAACTAATCATGGCTAGATTTTGGTGAGCTTTAAAATTGGGCTTAGGCATTTCTTGAGAAAGCAGTCGATACTCATTGTTATGAATACTCCACCTTCCATTCACATCTCAATTCACTGCAATGAGGAAAGTGCTGCTTAGGATAGAGTCTGAAATAACAATGGCTTAAATAAGACATAAATTTCTTGGTCTCACCTAAAAGAAATCTAGAGGTAGGTGGTACATTGTGGCTCCATGAAATTGTTAGGAATCCAGGTTATTTTTAGTTTACTGCTCCACTATCCTTACAGTGTGACCCTAGTCCTCATGGCCTTTATTCTAGGAGGCTACATATCTAGCTAAAAATCAGATGTCCTATTACTAAGGAAGAAGAGGAGAATGGCTATCAGGGTAAGCAATTAGCAATCTATGCCACAAATGTCTGCACTAAAACTATTCCTTCTAAGGTCACCAGAGACCACCACCCAGTCATCAGAATACCTAGACATCTTGTCAAGGTCTTACTTTTCTTGACCTCTTGTCAGCATTCAACACTGTTGACCCCTCTCTCCTTTCAAAACATTAGCTCTCATTAGTTTTGTGAAACTCCTTTCTCTAATGTTTCTCCCTATCTCTTTGGTCACTCATCATTCTCTTTCATGCGCTCCTTTTTTCTCCACCTATACCATAGATGCTGCTGGTTTCCAGGGCTCTTCTCCTAGCCCACATCTCTTCTATCTAGCTGCACACATTCTTCCTGGGTGCTCTTGCCCTTTCTCATGAATTAAAGGACCATTTATATACTGATGACTCCTAAATCTGTAACCTCAGCCCAGACTTCTTTCCTGAGTTTCAGACATGTATATTTAACTGCCTATGGCACATTTTCACCTGGATGTCCCACAGGTGTCTCAAAATCAATGTTCATTTCTCCTCAGTCCCACTCCTCCTTCAGTATTCCATATCTCAGTGAAAGGGAGATCCACACAATCTCTCAAATCAGATCTCCAAGAATTCCCTTTGACACTTCCTTCCTCACCCCTCTCTCCACAATCCAATTACTTATCAAGTACTACTGCTTTTTATTCCTTTACTATATCCTGAATTCAATCACTTCTCCCTGCTTGCTACAACTCTAGGCCCAAGCACAATCACTGCTTCCAAGGATGACTACAAAAGTCATAACTACTCTTGCTGTTTCCAAGAAGACATCTAATCTGTACTCCATATAGAAGTTAGGATGTTCTTTCTAAAATACAAATCTATGTTGTATCCATGCTTGGAATCCTTTGATAACCCCTCAATGCTTTCAGGATTAAGACCAAAGTCTATCATTTGGAGGTGATGGGATTTGGAGCACCAGAATTTGAAGAAAAAGAGGGGCTATGTCTAGTGTGGATAGAAGAAAAAACCTAGGCAGCAAGAAGGTGGTGAACATATATCACAAACATGGAGGAAGCAATAATTCAGAGAAAGAAAGGAGACAGGAGAACAGAAGCCCACCTTGAATATGTGGGAAATGTGTGTGTGTTGGATTATCCATAGAACATGGGGTTCATGGTACTTTATTTGCATAGTAATGGAAAAAGTGACCTCATAAAGCAGAAGCCTTGTGACCATGTGAATTACATTTGGATGTAGGAAAAGTATTGCATTTTATTTCTGCAACTGATCACTGTGCTGATTTTATTTTATTTATTTTTATTTTTTATTTTTTTAATTCATGTGAGTTATTTTAATAGTTGCTTCAAGATACCACATGGCAGTGTACAAAAAGCAAGAACATGAACAATAAAGCTGAAGCAGGAAGCATGTGTGAATGAGGTCCACAAACAAAATGAATTTAAATCATTTATTCTCAATGATCACTAATACTACAGAGAATAATATAATATTAAAATATATCATCCTCAGTAAATCTTAGAAAATCTGATTGTTACAGGTAAAATATAACATTTAGAATTTTCATTTAAAAATACAAATTATGAAAATTTCAAGAATTTTTAGAATGGGAATTATAAAAATGCTAAATAAAATTCTACTTTCAGATACTATGTATCTTAAAATATTATGAAAAATATTCTTTATTCTGAAAACAATGTAAGGAAAGAATACCTGAGTTCTCTAAAACCATGAGTTCTAGTTTCAAATTGCTGTTTTTGGTAGCATCAACAAGAAAACACAATTTAACACTGCAATTACCTGTCAAATAATTAGGATAGAATAAATGTTGCATATACATTAGGTTCAACATTACATACATTTGAAAACAGAGTTTTCTCATTTTATCTTTTGATGAAATGGACTACACACTGAAGTCTTAACTATATGCCAAAACCGTTTGGTAACATTTTTCTTCAAGCCCTGAAAATTCACACTAATGCCTTTATCAGTAGTCACTGTAACCAACTGAAATTAGTGTTTTGTGGCCTTAATAGTTTATACATTTAATATATTTGAAGGTGTGATGAAGTGGCTCCATCTTTCCATTTGTTTATATGGTCTGAAATTACAGTTCTGCAGAGTGGACATGTTTTCACTCTGTTAAACCATAAGGTAATGCACTCGTCACAAAATATATGCTGACAGATCAGAAGAATTGGCTTCTGAAATTCAGCTTGACATATCGAACAAATATCATCCACATCTGAACACTGTCTCTTGCTGGCAGCTACTCCATAACTTGGTCGTGTAAAAAATACTTGTAAAACCTGTCTGAAAGTTCTCAGATGTCAAAAAAAGTCCAAAAGTTTTAGTATGAGGTAGAGTAAAGCCAGCAATATCCCAAGACTCCATCTAGTTACATTACCAAACTCCCCATAGCTTATGAGGTAACGAAACCAAACTGGTATAGGAACAAAAGTTCGGTAATATTGACATAATTCTTCTAAAAGCATATACCAGTAACCCTTGGATTTAAAAGGCATGATGAAGGAAGGCACCAATAAAATAAGGCATTTTAAGCCCATGAAGAGGAATTTCAGAATGAAGTCTGTAATTCCAACAATCCAAAGTACTTCCCAGAAGTTCAAATAGTCCAAAGTAGGACTTAAAAAAATTAAGCTGTAATAAAGTGACTGAGAACGAAAGGAATAATATAAAGGAACAGAAGATGCTGATAAGAATACCAGTAACCGAGCACACTGAATCTTTGAGGACCTTTCTCTTAGAAAAACCTGATTTACAAATGCTTTTGTTTGCATACATAAAAGTTGTTAGCAGCCCAATTCCAAGAGAAATTCCTGTTATATGCTGCATAACAAGTTTGACACCCAGAATCAAAATATATGGAAGACTTTTTTGCAACCACTTGAAGAGATAGCGGAATTCTGAGAAGGAGCTACTACCATGTTCTCCAGACTCCGTGGCAGTATCATCAGGCTGCCTTCCTTCACTATAGGAGGAAGGACACTATAGGAGTCCTTCCTTCACTGACTCCGTAAGTGACTATGTACACATCCATGGGTACAGCTATGGACACCTGACCTTATATTTCTGGAGCTTGGATTTTCAGCACATTCTTTAGGTGTAGAGTTTATCTGGATATGAACATCTCCAGAATGAAGACAAGAACCTTCTCCTGTCAATCTTGTATGGACACACTGGGAGGCCGAGGCATCCTCACTGCTTCTGGGTACTGGGGGACTGTGTAGCTGGCTACGATTGCCTTGCATGGCTTTTAAATGTTTTTTCTCTGATCCAGATTTCTTTGCTTCAGGGCTCTGTCTCCTCTCATGACCAGGAGCGGACCTAGGCCTCGGCGGCGACAGCAGAAACAGCAGCACACGCCGCCTGGAGCCCTTCAGTCAGACCATCTCCCGCAACCCCACAACCAGCAACTCCCACTGTGCTGATTTTATTACAGTTTCTATTAACTTTTTAGTTGATACTCTTGGATTTTCCAGGTCTGCATTCATATACTCTGTAATTGATGATGAGTTTGTCTACTTTCCATTATTTTTACGTTTTATTTTGTTCTCTTGAATAGACACAATTCCTTATGTGAGTTTATTATGTGATCAACATGCCATTTCACACCAGTGAGGGAAAAGATGGATTAGTTTGCACATGGTGTAGGAGTAAGAGACTATAATTTTGCAGAATAATCAAGCTGAATTCTCATAGAAAACAAATTTTGGAATGATCATTTAAATGTAAATAATAAAGCCATAAAAGTGCTTGGGAAAAAATGGAGATTGTTATAATGTAGTAGTGTGGAAAACAATTCTAAACAAGAAGCAGAATTTAGTAGTAGTAAAGAAAAAAAACTGATATATTTGAGTACATAATAATTAAACCCTTTTGCATGGCAAAAAGTATCCTAACATGAAAAAATATTTGTAATATGTGACACATAAATATGTGAGACACATTGCTGGGGAATGTTATTCCATGTACTTTTTGGGAGTAAGCTGACAAATTTTGTATCAAATGGAAGACTTTTCTGTAGCATCTGAGTTAAGAAAAAATACTATAAATAAAAAAATGCCTAATACAGATACCAGGATGTTCTTTGCAGCATTGCTTGTAATAGTAAAAAAAAAAAAAAAAGGAAATAATCTAAACATCTACCCTATACTGGACTGGTTAAATATATCATGGCATATCTATACAAGATAAGATCATGCAGCTATTAAGAAAACTGTGCACTAACAGAAAGATGTTTAAAAGATAACTCAAAAAAAAAAACAGGTCACAAAACAGTAGGTATAGGTACCATCTGTGGAGAGAAAACCCAAATAATTAGTACGTGAATAGAAAAAATCTGGAGGAATGTACATCAGAATGTTAATAGCGGTTAGTTCTGTAGGATAAGAGGGCCTTTCATTGGTATATTACATATTTCTGCATTATTTGAATTTTCACAACAACACCTTACCTTTGTAATAAGAAAAAATGAAGATATAAAAATAAATACATTCAATGAATGAATCGCTTTCAGGGGGTGGTTTGGGTTTGGGGTGGAAAGGCTTCAGACCAAGCCTGGTACAGTGGCATAAACATGGGCTTTGGCGTCAGACAGCCCTGAGCAGGGCCCCATTGCCCCACCCCCCGAGGAAGGCGAGGGGGGGTGGCAGGGGGCTGCGGAAAGGGGCTGGGCTGGGATAGGCTGTCTGCAGCTCCAGTCCAGGAGGCTGAGACTTCGAGAGGGACTGAGAGAGCAGGCACATCCCGGACTTGCTCGAGGACAAGGTGAGGGTGTTGAGATTGGGGATTCCTGGAGGCCAGACAGTAGTTCCAGCCCCCTGGAACCCTCAGCCAGGCAGGTGGGCAATTCTTACCCCACCACTGCAGCTGGAGCAGAAGTGACCTGGAGTGGGGCGTAGCAATGAGAACGACTGAGAAAGTAGTAGGCTGTACGGACTGGGGAGCAGAAACTAGCAGAGGAGGAGGGGAGAAAAAACGGGGAACCAGGCAGGTTAGGTGGGGGACGGGGAATACGAAGGGGGAAGGGAATACTGAGGGGGAGTGGAGATCCAGAGGAGAGACTAGGGAATGCAGAGAGGGGATATGGAATACAAGAGGGCAGGGCGTGCATAGGTAACATGGAGGGGGATGTAAAGAATGGGAATAGGGAATTCTGTGGGGTAAATAGGAAATGCGAAGGGGGAGGGAGTAGGGAGCGAGGCAGAGGGAATACGGAGGAGGGGTATAAGGAATGAGGAGCCAGGAGTGGGGGAGGGGCAGACAGGCTGGGACCGAGGCCCCCTAGGGAGGCGGAAAGGGGCGGGACCACTTCCGGCCTAGAGAGAGGAGGGCAGTTTCTGAGTTTCGGAGGGGCTTGGAAAGAGTGGACGCATTTAAAAATTGTGGCAGGAGGAGGTGAGAGCGGGCCCAGTTTTGGATGAGAAGCCCGCTAGGGGTCGGCCCCACTCTCTCCTATCTGGAGGAAACCTGCCATAAGGACCGGATTGTACCGGATCCATCTGGCTGAGAAGGGAGGGGACTGGACCCGGTTTGGCTGGGCCCAAGATGGAATCACTAGCTCAATATTGATTTGAGGAGGGGTGTTAATAGGGAAGGGGCGGAACCAAGATGCGCTTTACCCCTGTTTGGAGGGGGGCGTGTTAGGAAAAAGGGCGGGACCGGGAGATACTGTGGACTTGGTGGGGTGGGTGTAAGTAGGGGAGGAGCTGGGACCACCAGACACTGCGACAATTTGGGAAGGAGGCTTGTTGGGAAGGGGGCGGGACCAAATAGCACTGCGGACCTGGAGAGGGGCCTGTGTTGTGGCAGGGTGCTGGACTGAGACCAGGATCATTGCGCAAGCGCAATATGTATCGCTAGAATGGGGCGTGTTGAGAAGGGCCGGCACGGAGACGGGCTAGCTACTGAATGCGCATGTGCAGGGTGGACATCAAAGAAAGGGCTTGTGCTGGGAAAGCGGGCGTGGCCGAGATGCCCGCCCCCCCCAGCGGGCGCGCATGCGCTCTATTGACCTCCGGCTGGAGGTGGGTTGCACTGGGAAAAGGGGCGGGGTCCTCAGAGCTGCCGCGCTGGCACATCTTCCTGGAGAAGGGGAGGGTGGGGCTGCAGAGAATTGAGACCTAGACGCTTTGGATTTCTGTATCTGAGAACAGTCGTTGGGGGTGGGGGAGGGGTTTGGGATTGGGGCCCTAGGGAAAGTGACGATCAGCCTCTAGGCAGAACAGCGAAGAGGAAGTTCAGTGGACTCTCCGCTTGACCCAGGACTTCTCCTCTTCAGGCACAGCTCTTGCCAGGCCAACTTGAGACATGTCTGACACAAGTGAGAGTGGTGCGGGTGTAACTCGCTTCCAGGTAAGGCCTTCTTCTGTCTTCTTCCCAGCTGCTTTTCCTCTGAAGCCTTTGTTGCTGTCCCAGATCCCTTGGTACTTCTCCTTGCATCCTTGTCCTCCTCCACCCACTTTCCTGCCTGGGTGCCCCCCAGTGAAGGAAGGGAGAGAGGGTGGGCGGGTCCGTCTTCTGCCATCAGTTCTTGCTCAGAGGAAGGGGAGGCCTTGTTGGGTTGAGGTGGTCAGAACACTGCAGGTAGAAGTCAGTACAGGTCAGAGAAGTGTGTCCTTGGAATTTTGGAGCCATTTGCCTACTTGAGGGTGGGGAGAAGGTTCGTGAGCTTCTCTGCTTCCTATTCCAGGCTGAAGCTTCAGAAAGGGACAGTGGGTCCACGATGCAGACCCTATTGACAGTGACCCAGAATTTGGAGGTCTCAGAAACACTGAAGACCTCAAAGGCACCAGAAGTCTCAGAGGATGTGAAAATCTCAAAAGCTGCAGGGGTCTCAAAGGCCACAGAAGTCTCAAAGACTCCAGAGGCTCAAGAGGCAGCTGCCACCCAGGCCTCAGCTACCACTCAGCTGATTGATACCCAGGTTCCTACAGCAGAAAAGAAGAGTCCAATAGCTGACACCAATAAGCCAAATGCTGACCTGCAGGCTGTGACAACGCCTGCCACTGAGACCAAAAAGGTCAGCTGTGTGGCTGATACGAAGGTCAATACAAAGGCCACGGAGACTGAGGCTGCTGCCTCTAAGGCTCTGGCAGATGAACCTGAACCTGAGGGTGCAGCTGCCCAGGCTCAGGTGAATCAGGATACTCGGCCCAAGGTCAAGGCTAAGAAAGCCCAAAAGGTAAGACCTCTGTAGTCAGCACCCTTGCTTTTCTACTACTCTCCTTTCATTTGGTTCATTTGTTTTACAAACATTTAGAAAGATCTGTGTGCTCCTCAAGGATGTGGGGAGCACTGAGAGAAATATGTAATTCCTGTGTTCAGAGAGCTCACAAACTGGTAGGGAGATGAGACAGGAATGCACATAGCTGTAGTCTGAATGTAATGTGGTTAATATTTACATAGTAGCTACTATGTGATAGGCCTTGGGCAGATTTTCTGGTTAAATCTTGAAAGTAATTCTTATGGACCCAATTTTATAGAGAAGGAAGTTGAGTCCTAGAGAGGTGAAATGGCTTGTCCAGGGTGTCTCATGCAGAGCCAATGGTGGACAGAGAAAGAGGAGAAGCCTCAGGCCCCACCCTTGGGTTGCTCCTGGCCTGCTGGGGAGACGAAAATCCTATCTAGAAGTCAGTGGGAAACAAAGCTAGCATAGTCAATGTCTAGTGAATTAGGCTGTTACCGCAGGGGTGGGATTAGGGAGTACTTCATGGAAGAGATAGGGTGAGGAAAAAGGACCACTTGCATCATCTAGTGATGTTGAGCTTGCTCTCTATTGATACAGGTGAAGCATCTGGATGGGGAAGAGGATGGCAGCAGTGATCAGAGTCAGGATTCTGGAACTACAGGTGGCCGAAGGATCTCAAAGGCCTTAATGGCCTCAATGGCCCGCAGAGCTTCAAGGGGTCCCATAGCCCTTTGGGCCCGCAGGGCATCAAGGACTCGGTTGGCTGCTTGGGCAAGGAGGGCCTTACTCTCCCTGAGGTCGCCTAAAGCCCGTAGGGGCAAGGCTCGCCGTAGAGCTGCCAAGCTCCAGTCATCCCAAGAGCCTGAAGCACCACCACCTCGGGATGTGGCCCTTTTGCAAGGGAGGGTAAGAACTCTGTCCTCATTTTGCCTTTTCTACTGCCTTGCCTGCTCTCTTCTCTGCTATCCTTTCAAGTTTTCCACAAACCAATTTTAATCTTTTCATCTTTTCCTATTCTCTTAGGCAAATGATTTGGTGAAGTACCTATTGGCCAAAGACCAGACAAAGATTCCCATCAAGCGCTCAGGTAGAGTCCCTACTAACCCTCTCTCTGTCCCGAACTCTGCCCTCCATTGCCTTCTTGCGAATGTGCTGGGGGCATCGCTTGCTCTTAGGCTCCTATCTCTGTCCTCCTAAAATTCTGCTAGCATCTCTGTTGATAAGCTCAAAGCCTGGTTATGGTACCCATGACATGTTAGGAAAAGGGTCTATAGTTTGGGCGTGGGGGCCACCTGGTGTCTCTTCAGCCCAGGTCCTTGCAACATTCTCCTCTTGCAGACATGCTGAAGGACATCATCAAAGAATACACTGATGTATACCCTGAGATCATTGAACGAGCAGGCTATTCCTTGGAGAAGGTGAAGGGGCAGCCCTGGGGGATGGGTGCAATGGGGAAGACTTGAATCCAACAAAGGTGTACATGTCCCTTCAAGGGGGAACGACAGATATCTGCTAATATAGCCCATCACTGTGCTGATGGGCAGATAGTGGCCTAGGGAGATGCACAGACTAGCCATGGGTTATGCAGCAAGTCAGTAATGAAAGCATAGCTAGGACCCAAGGTACCCAACCTTGTCCTGGCTTCTGTCTGCAGCCAGACACGTCCTGTCATGTATTTCAGGTGCTCACCTGTCCCTTCAATTCCCTATTATCTGTCTCTCTAGATTCCCACTAATCTAGAGATGACATTGATGACAGTAGTACATTAGCTGTGTTTACTGGGTACCAGTACTTACTTACGTGCTTTATGTGCGTTATCTCACTGATATCTCACATGCACGAAACCCCTAGGTACACGGGAAGCTGCGGCATGCCTGGGAAGCTGAATTTTGTGAACTCACAAGCTCTTCTCCCCATCCGCAGGTATTTGGGATTCAATTGAAGGAAATTGATAAGAATGACCACTTGTACATTCTTCTCAGCACCTTAGAGCCCACTGATGCAGGCATACTGGGAACGTAAGCTGGAAAAGGGCTGGGGTGGGAGGGGGGCTTCTGCTTTCGTTCATGGTTCTAGCCCTTCCCTGTCCTCTCTCCCTGTATCCTCTTAGAGGGTCAGGAAAGACAGGGCCCTGACCCTGTCCCAGCCCCCAGCCATAGTTGGAGCCCTGCGCTCGCTCAGTAGTGGTGCCTGTTATGATTGATTGAAGGCTGTAAGAGACTGGGGTGGGGCATTCCTGCTGTCAGGTTTCCTGTCTCTCCAGAAGCTTCCCAGGAAAGCAGGCCTATTGTTGCTTGTCTCTGCCTACTGAGTCCCTGGCCAGGCCTTGGTTGAGTGGTTCTCAAGGAGAGCTCCGTGGTGTTGGTGGGCCAGGATACATTAAGGGCAGGAATATCAGTAGGGCCCAGCCTAGAATTCTTTTGGGGCTGAGGGGTCTGGGAGAGAAAGAAGGGACTCACGTTGACTGGGTGCCTGGGTTGTACCAGGTTGACAGGCATCCTTCCATCTTCTTGGCAGCCTGGGAAGGGGAAGATGTGATTTTCTCATTTTGTGGAATAGGAGACTGAGGCTCATGAGTCTGTGTGCCTTGCCCAGGGTCACATGGAGCCTGAAGCATAGACTCAGCAGAATTCTCTCGTATCTGAGGAATCTGGGAGAGGCTAGCCTAGTGAGCTAGCTGGTGTGTCTTTTGTAGATGGCTGCTGGGCATAATCCTCTCTGTCTTATTATTCCCTTAGGACTAAGGAGTCACCCAAGCTGGGTCTACTCATGGTGCTTCTTAGCATCATCTTCATGAATGGAAATAGATCCAGTGGGGGTGAGTGGCTTGGTGTGCAGCTGAATGGGTGGCTATGGTCTGGATTCCGAGTGTTCATTTTTTGTCCCTCTCTCCTCTTGCCTCCCCTTGCAGCTGTCATCTGGGAAGTGCTACGCAAGTTGGGGCTGCGCCCTGGGTATGATTGGGCTCTCTCAGCACTTGCTGTCCATGTTGTCCTTTGGCAAGAGAGGACAGTCCCAGGATTGCATCAGCCTGGTGGTCTGGTGGAAAGGGCCCAGGGTTCTGACCTGGGTGGATGGGGAAATGGTCTTGAACTCTCTGCTCCCTATTTCACTCTCTCTTGGGCTTCTATGGAGCTTCCCTCTTGTGCTGAAAACCTCTCTTCCACCTGGGAAATGCCTCAGCCCTGATTGTTTTTTTTTTTTTATTGTTTCATATTATGGGGGTACAAATATTGTTAGGGTTACATGATTTGTTTATTTGTTTTTCTTTCTGTGCTCTCAGGATACATCACTCACTCTTTGGGGATGTGAAGAAGCTTGTTACTGATGAGTTTGTGAAGCAGAAGTTAGTATCTTTGTCTGTTGTTGGTGTGTTCCGTGCATTTGGCCTGTTTTCAGAACTGAGTGATAAAGCCATGGTTAGTGCATGTGTGTGTGCATGTGCATCTTTGTGTGTGCACATGTGCATGTGTATAGGTGGTAAGTTATTCCTGGGGCAGTTATTCCAAGAGCAGCACATCTTTCCTGCTCTATTACATCTGCTCTCACATTTGTCTTCAGAATAACTCTACAAGGAGGGATTATCATCACCAGCATTGTGCATATGTGTAAAAACTGAGGCTCAGAGAAGTGAACTCATTTGCTTAGGCTTACGCAGGTAGCAAATGGAAGAGTTGTGTTTAAAATTTGGCTCCAAAGCCATGGTTCTTTTTACTCTGCTAGCCAGTCCTTCATAAACATTAATTTCCATAAAGCAATGCCATAGAATGATAGCCTCAAGCAACCAGATACTGTGCTAAGAACTTGACTTGTAGATCTCATTTCATTTTCATAACTACCCTGCAGAATAGGTGCTGTCATTCCATCCTTATTTTACAGTTGAGGGACCTACGGCTCCAAGAGGGAAAATCTGAGTATGGCCTACAGCTGGTAAAGGGCCCATTTGGGCCTGAAGCCCAGCCCTTTTGACATTTTGACCAGAACCCACCCTATCCTTGGTTCTTGGAAGACACAGGAACAGGCACGTGCATGTGCACACAGAAACGCACACACTGCACACAAAGGCCCAGGAATTCAGGAGTATGCATGGATTATGCTGCTCTTGGCTGACTGTTTCTTCCTTTATAGGTTTTCTAATCATTTTCTATAGTGGACCTTTCTAGGGCTTGGCCAGGCTGCAGCTCATACCCTTTTAGGTGTGGTGGGTGTGCTCAGAGCAGGGGGCCTGAAGAATGGCTCCTCTGTTTACAACACATTCAACAGTAATCTGGGGTCATTGTGATGAGTGGCACAAAACTTGGGGTTTCCCTATGAACAAATGCCCTACACATATCCCCCCTGCTCTTCTACATGGCTTCTGAGCAGGACCAATAGGGCTCAATATTGGAAGAAAAACTGTAGTTTTTAGTGGGTGAGTTTGCCATCTAGAGCCTGTCCAGTCCATAGATGGGTGGTATTAGAAATAAAGGCTTTGAACTTCTCTTTTCAAGGTACCTGGACTATGCCAGAGTCCCCAATAGCAATCCCCCTGAGTATGAGTTCTTCTGGGGCCTGCGCTCATACTATGAGACCAGCAAGATGAAAGTCCTCAAGTTTGCCTGCAAGGTAATTGGAGAGCTGCCTGATCTTGGCATATCAAGGGCATGGGGTGGCCCTGGCTGGGGTAGGCTGTGTGCAGAGCAGCCTGCAGTTCATATCCGAACAATCTGAAGCCTCTGTTAATTGCCAAACACTGTGCCAGGCACTTTATCTGAATAATTTAATCCTTACAATTAATATGTCATTGCCCTATTAAAGATAAGAAAACTGAGGCCCAGAGAGGTTGGTAGGTGAAATTTCCAAGATCATAGAGCTAGTAAGTGTCAGAGCAGGGATGGAAAATTAGGTGCATAATTACTAGTAGTAGTTACTGTATTATTACTGTTATCTACAGCATGTAGCATGGTGCCTAGCAAACAGTAGGTGCTTAATTCTCTGGTTATGATTCTTCTGATGGTTATCTGTTTCAGGTACAAAAGAAGGATCCCAAGGAATGGGCAGCTCAATACCGAGAGGCAATGGAAGCAGATTTGAAGGCTGCAGCTGAAGCTGCAGCTGAAGCCAAGGCAAGGGCCGAGATTAGAGCTCAAATGGGCATTGGGCTCGGCTCAGAGAATGCTGCCGGGCCCTGCAACTGGGACGAAGCTGATATCGGACCCTGGGCCAAAGCCCGGATCCAGGCAGGAGCTGAAGCTAAAGCCAAAGCCCAAGACAGTGGTGGTGCCAGTGCTGGTGCCAGCACCAGTACTAGTGCCAGTGCCAGTGCCAGCAGTGGCTTCAGTGCCAGTGCTAGTCTGACTGCCACTCTCACATTTGGGCTCTTCGCTGGCCTCAATGGAGCTGGTGCCAGCACTGGTGCCGGCTCTGGTGCCCGTGGTTTCTCCTACAAGTGAAATTTCAGGTATCCACCTTGGTTTCGGTGGGGACAGTAGGGGGTCATGGGGCTGGGACGGGGAGCTGGGGAGCCTAGAAAGGCCTAGGCTGGAGAATGATGCAGAAAGAGTGCAAAGACATTGCTTCTGACATTTTACTCTTTCCTGTTTGCTGGGTATCAATCGACTCTTTTATTTTCTTTGACTTATGTTTTCAGATACACACTTGTGTTAATCCCCGCAGCCTTTCTCTTCAAGCCAGGGTGCATCTTCAGAAACCTACCCAACGGAGCACTCTAGGCAGCCACTATCAATCAATTGAAGTTGACACTCTGCATTAAATCTATTTGCCATTTTCTGAGTTTATTGCTTTTTGTGGTGGGCTGTCACATTTTGGTATCACATTAAAAAATGGATAAATTAGGAACGTTTCCACCTCAATCTATGATTAGTTTGAGGCAATTTTGTTGGATTCCCAGGGGCGAGATTATCACACCTTTCTGGGATATATTGGGCCCCACATCTAGCCTGCACAGCAGGTAGGATTTCAGTGGATAGAGTCATGGGCATTGTAGTCACAGAAGGAAAACACTGTGAAGAAGAAGCATGGGATGGGCAAGTCTGAAGCAGAAAGCATAGGTAGAAGAAAGTGGACATTAAGTATAGAATCTCCTTTTGAGAAATTTGGATGAGACTGGAAGGAGAGAAAGGGAGGTAGCTAAAGGGGACTATGAAAACAGGGAACATTTTCTTGGGGAAGGAGAGAAAGACTTGAGCAAGGCAGGAACCAATGGAGAGGGCGAAGTTGAATGTTGATTCCTATAGCCCATTCTGTGAGGAGTTGAGAGGGGATGGGTTGCCAGAAGGCCTGGAAGAAGGGACTGCCTAGACAGGACTCAGATGGGGAGTATGGAAGCATGTAGAACAGTGGCAGGCCCCAACAGAGCATGGAGCTCCTGATTTTTGGGGGAACATGGCAAGGTACTCAGTAATTTGGTGTAGGGAAC